GGCCATGGAATGATCCCCAGTGACATCAGGGGGAGCTTACAGTTGTATTTGCATCCACAGGCTCCTCCTACTGGTGGTTAACCCTTGTTAGACTCACCCCTTCCTGTTGTTTTATCCAATGCCTAAGCCAATACCTCTCACATGCTGTAATCAATAAAGTTGTGGCCTTTTTTAGTCCATTAACCTAATAAGGTGAAGGAAAGGATTGGGCCCTGATTAATAAAATACACACGAGGCTTGGCCAGCAAGACTCCGGGAGGAAATGCCAATAATAATCTGCCACACCCTGGCCCAGGTCCCTTTTATTAACAAAAGAACTCTTAACACAGCTATTGTAAGAACCAATCAGATTTCCTCTGAGCATTTCAAAAAATCCCCCACGTGGGACAAAGTCAGATCAGAGAAATCCTTTTAACTACAAAGAAACTATTTCCTACTTGAGCATGCATACGTGGTTAAGCTAAACAAACAGGAACCAAGGAGGAATGCATTTAGGAAACCCAGAGGTCATAAACCCATCGGAAAGAAAGATAGTATTTACCATCTCCTTGTGAACTCAGTGGCGTAGCGTGGGGGGTGCAGGGGGGGCCGGCCGCACCGGGCGCAACATCTGGGGTTAGGGCAAATCCACGGGTTAGGGGGCGCAAATCCACAGTTTAGGGGGCGCAAATCCACGGGTTAGGGGGCGCAAATTACTTGCCTTGCCCCGGGTGCTGACAACCCACGCTACGCCGCTGTGTGAACTCTCTTCCTGGCCCTTAAGATCGACCTAAAGATTAACAAAATCTACATCAAAGCTACTTTCTGTCTTTATGTACTGAGGATGCCCGGTGAAGCAACTGGTCTGTGTTTTAGAATGCTATACATGACTGTCAGGCAGTGAGAAAATGGCAGAGGTGCAGAGGCTTGTGGGATTCGATCAGAAACCATGTCAAATGGCTCAAGCCCAGTCAAAGCAATGCGTTCATTGCTGACACAATGGCTTGCTACATTTTCCATAATTCCTCATAGCAATCCCACCTGACCACCACAATTAACTGCTGGAGTCATGTTGTGTGGGGGAGAGACACCGCATCCTGACACTTTCATCAAGGTGCCTCCTGGGTAAGCTTAGTCGCCATGAAATAAGAGAAGAGGTCCTCTTGTGGATCAGGAATGGAAGTTGCAGGAAGCAGAAAATAGTATTAAGTGGATAGTTCCTTCAAATGGGGGGCTGTGGTGCCAGATGTTCTTGACCAAAAGCTCGCAAGAACAATCTGGCCACAGCGTTTGCACCCACAAGATTCTGGACCAGACCGAAGGGCAGCCCCAGAAAGAGTGCATTGCAGTAGTCCAGCTCCAAGTTTTCCAGTGCTCCAGTGGTCAGGCTATTCCTGTTCACAAACAGCCCTAGAGGACACGTGGGTCTCTAGTGACAAAGTATTTTATTTTACCTTTTTAGTCATGCTAATGTGTGAATGAGACTGATTTTGAGTGGTGCCATGGCTGGCACAACCAAAGAAGTTGCCCTGTGCCATAGAACATATGAGTAGGCCTCCCTGCCTCCACCAAACCGCTAGGTAGGAGAACAAAAGCCAGAGTTGTCTGAGTGGGTGGACTTGGAAGCAGGATGGAAGTTGGACGCACAAAGACATACATGTTCTGTGCTGGATTCAAAGCTGTGACTAATGCAGTGCTAATGCTCCGTGGAGTATTAAAGCAGTGAAGCCCTGCTACCTATGCTCAGGTTGCATATACAGTGGGACCTCGGGTTAAGAGCTTAATTCGTTCCGGAGGTCCGTTCTTCACCTGAAACTGTTCTTAACCTGAGACACCTGAGACACCACTAATGGAACCAGTATGGTGTAGTGGTTAAGAGCGATAGACTCGTACTCTGGTGAACCGGGTTCGCGTCTCCGCTCCTCCACATGCAGCTGCTGGGTGACCTTGGGCTAGTCACACTTCTCTGAAGTCTCTCAGCCCCACTCACTTCACAGAGTGTTTGTTGTGGGGGAGGAAGGGAAAGGAGAATGTTAGCTGCTTTGAGACTCCTTAGGGTAGTGATAAAGCGGGATATCAAACCCAAACTCTTCTTCTTCTTCTTCTCCCACTGCTGCCGCCACCGTGTTGTTGGTGTTTAGTCGTTTAGGACTCTTCTTGACCCCATGGACCAGAGCATGCCAGGCACTCCTGTTTTCCACTGCCTCCTGCAGTTTGGTCAAACTCATGCTGGTAGCTTCGAGGCCATTTGGTCCTCTGTTGTCCCCTTCTCCTTGTGCCCTCCATCTTTCCCAGCATCAGGGTCTTTTCCAGGGAGTCTTCTCTTCTCATGAGGTGGCCAAAGTATTGGAGCCTCAACTTCAGGATCTGTCCTTCCAGTGAGCGCTCAGGGCTGATTTCCCTAAGAATGGATAGGTTTGATCTTCTTGCAGTCCATGGGACTCTCAAGAGTCTCCTCCAGCACCATAATTCAAAAGCATCAATTCTTCGGCGATCAGCCTTCTTTATGGTCCAGCTCTCACTTCCATACATCACTACTGGGAAAACCATAGCTTTAGCTATACGGACCTTTGATGGCAAGGTGATGTCTCTGCTTTTTAAGATGCTGTCTAGGTTTGTCATTGCTGCCGTCGTACCACCAGGCCATTTCTGTTCTCATCCTGAAGCAAAGTTCTTAACACGAGGTAATATTTCTGGGTTAGCGGCTCCTCCTGCTTCTGGCCTGGGGGGGGCGCAGCTCAAGGGGGTTTCCCAAATGAGGCATGGGGGGGGGGCTCCTGCCTTGGAGGAGGAGAGAGCGGGGCTCCGCTTGTGCTCGGCTTGCCAAGGGTTAAAAGGCACAGAGCTGGGTTTCTAGAGAGGACAGGAAGTGGAGGCGTGGGGGGGGCAAGGTCCTCCCGAGCAAAAGCCCCTCCCTCGCCATTCCCGCCTGCAAGCGGAGGGGCTGCTTCCGTCTCCCTCTCTCTCTTGCAAGAGCTGCCTGGGGGTGAGTCTGGTGCAATGGGGAGAAGGGGCTGCAGGGGAGGATGCCTGGGGGGCTGGTCAGATCGTGCATGGGGGGCGCCAAACCGGGGGGGGCAGACATTCCCCGCCAAGCCGGGAGGGGCTCTGCCCCGCTCTTCTTGCTTGGCCCCAGGGGGGAGGGGGGAGGGGGTCTTGGAGGGGGGAGCCTGCAGAGAGAGCCCTGGAGTCTCGATCAAGAGTTGAGGAGGAGGAGGAGGAGGAAGGGTCTTCTTCCTCTTGGCCAGCATCGCTACTGTGTCTTTTCTCCTGGCAGATCAAGGAGACCAGGAGACAGCAGAAACCGCTACATTTGTAGCAGGGCGATTGGAGCGAGATCTCTTATGGCTGGATCGCTTTTCTAACGTAGCTCAGCTTTTTTCTTTCTTTAATCAGTTTGGTCGTTTATACGGATGTCAGCCTCCAGGACGTACTTTGTATACCAAACTATATAGCAGACTATATCTGGTCTAGGGAACTATGCCCCACAAGTAACCCAGAGATGCATTTTCAATAAAAGCACACATTCTGCTCATGTAAAAACACCAGGCAGGTTTGGAGTACATGGTCAGGAGCAGGGCTAGGCAAACTGAGGCCCGGGGGCCGGATGCGGCCCAATCGCCTTCTAAATCGGCCCGCGGACGGTCCAGGAATCAGCCTGGTTTTTCCATGAGTAGAATACAGTGGTACTTCGGGTGAAGTACTAAATTCGTTCCGGAGGTCCGTTCTTAACCTGAAACTGTTCTTAACCTGAGGTACCACATTAGCTAATAATAATAATGTGGCCTCCCTCTGGTGCCGTGCCGCCAGAGCACAATTTCTGTTCTCATCCTGAAGCAAAGTTCTTAACCCGAGGTACTATTTCTGGGTTAGCGCAGTCTGTAACCTGAAGCGTATGTAACCTGAAGCGTATGTAACCCGAGGTACCACTGTATGTCCTTTTATTTAAAATGCATCTCTGGGTTATTTGTGGGGCATAGGAATTCGTTCATTTTTCTTTCTTTCTTCAAAATATAGTCCAGCCCACCACATGGCCTGTGGGACGGTGGACTGGCCCATGGCTGGAAAAGGTTGCTGTCCCCTGGTCTATAGCTCTCCTTCTGGAGCCAGAGAGAATAGTCACTTTCAAGGGCACCATTTAAGATGTAGAGGTTTAGCCTGAATGCTGTTTGAGCCAAGCAGATGCCTGCAAAGTTTGATTTCTGATCTTTGGAACAACGGGTGAGGAGGAATCCACTGGCTTCACGGTAGGGAGGAGATCATTTGTGCTGTGCATAAAGGGCATGATGATTAGGGCCCAATCTGGCATTGAGATCCCCTCCTAAAACTACAGATGCCTTTGGTTAAGCAAAATAAGGTCAGTGGTATAAATTTCCCTTTCAACCCACAAGTCTCTGATCTGAGATTTCTGCCTCATTGGGGTCACATCAGCGTAAATTACCAACAGAGCCTGGTGGCTGAATTGGATTAACACTGCCCTGGCTTATGACTTGAATGAGGGGAGAGGGCTTGAAATGGCATGTAGGGTAGTGGAGACTAAGACCCCCAGGCCCCCTTTCTCTCTTCCACGCTTTACCCTTAGATCTGCCCTAGTTGAGAATGAATGAAATCCGTTGAGTAACAGCTCATCCGCTGTCCATGTTTCCAGGATCATTATGATGCAATGGTGGGAAAGAAAGTCTTTAAAACAAGTATCTCTGCTTGATGCAGACAACCCGGCCACATTCCAGGATAAAAGATAGGTCACGCAGTTGCATTGTGGGTAATTTTTGCAGGAGCAAGAGCTTTGCATTGGTTTGAGATGGTTGTAACTGTGTCTCCTTCTGTGACGAGGGAAAAGGTCCTGTACCATCATGTTCCTGCTCCTCTGTTCTAGCGAGGAGACTGGGAGAATCAGTGCAGCGTGGTCAATAAAATGTGAATTCCAGGCAAGCAGGGCTGTCATGTCTCAGCAGGGGAGACTTCCTTTCACTTGTCTGAGGAGGGGGGAACTGTTTCTCCTGCGAATCCGGTTCCCTCAGGGCCAGGTGGGACTTCTGAGATGGGGAAGCACATGGGGCTGTATTTCCAGGTTGGGCTTCTTCAAGTGATTGTCAGAGGTTTCTTTTGCTTGCAGGGCAGATTCTTTGGGGAATCAGCTACTTGGGGTTGTAAAGATTCCTTCTATACTACTGGTATACAAGGAATATTCAGAAGAGTCACTCTCTGCATCACTTCCACTATTATTAATAAAGTACCAGGGTGACCCTGCTGGGAGATTCCCGATGGCTTTGCTCACAAGGGTCATAGGAACGTGCAAGCCCACTCACCACAACAAGGTGTTGATCCAGCGATCAACTAGGGTCAATTACCACCTATACATCATTTTTATGTAGTTCTCCTTCAGTAAAGTACATGCAGAAAATTTCAAATCTATAATAATAATAATTTATTATTTATACCCCACCCATCTGGCTGGGTTTCCCCATCCACTCTGGGCGGCTTCCAACAGAATATTAGAATACAATAATCTATTAAACATTAAGAGCTTCCCTAAACAGGGCTGCCTTCAGGTGTCTTCAAAAAGTCTGGTAGTTGTTTCTCTCTTTGACATCTGGGGGGAGAGCAATCCACAGGGCAGGAGCCACTACCGAGAAGGCCCTATGCCTGGTTCCCTGTAACTTGGCTTCTCACAGGGAGGGAACCGCCAGAAGGCCCTCGACACTTATCCTCAGTGTCTGGGCAGAATGATGGGGGTGGAGACGCTCCTTCAGGTATACTGGGCCGAGGCCGTTTAGGGCTTTAAAAGTCAGCACCAACACTTTGAATTGTGCTTGGAAACGTACTGGGAGCCAGTGTAGATCTTTCAAGACCGGTGTTATGTGGTCTCGGTGGCCTAACTTCCAAATCTAACTTCCAAAGCCAGTCCGTCATTAATTTATTATGTCCCACATCCTTCGCCCATTTTATCATAACGCATTTGACCTGGTCCTCTTTGGTGTCCTCTTCCAAAAGCAGATCGTTCATTTTTGACAGCTGTTTTATACTACCTTCTAGTATTTCTCTCTGAAATCTTGACATTTGATAACTAAATCCTTTCTTTTCATGATTTTTAAAAGTTTCATTTAGTTGTAAATAGTGTAACCAGTCTATTACATTTTCTCTTACTTCTTCAAAGTCCTTTAATTTTAATTGGTTGTCAGTTTCAGTTAACAGCTCTTTATGACTATGAAAACTTTTATGAACTTTTGCCTTATGGTACCATAGATAAGCATGCCTGGTGTTGCAGTCTTCAGGTTTGGGGACAAGATGGTGACTGGTTTTTGCCCCAAATTCTTTCCATAAGCCCCACTGAGTTCAATGGGATCTATTCTCAGGTCTCTACTGTGCAGACCATGCCGGTCTTACAAAGAGGGGAGAGGAGTAAACAGAGGAAATTGGAACCACTGGAAAGGTTTATAAATGGGGTTTCTGTTGGGAAGGGGCTGCCCCATTTGTGCTTTTCCAGGGGCAGGAGAATCCAGTGAGAGCCAGTGTGGCGCAGTGGTTAAAAGCGGTAGACTCGTAATCTGGTGAACCGGGTTCGCATCTCCGCTCCTCCACATGCAGCTGCTAGGTGACCTTGGGCTAGTCACACTTCTCTGAAGTCTCTCAGCTCCACTCACCTCACAGAGTGTTTGTTGTGGGGGAGGAAGGGAAAGGAGAATGTTAGCCGCTTTGAGACTCCTTTATGTAGTGATAAAGCGGGATATCAAATCCAAACGCTTCATCTTCTTCTCTTCTTCTTCCCTGCAGGGCCTTTGAGGCTCCCTTTGCGTCTTCATCTCTCCCAGGACCTTGCAGCTTGTTTTGGCTCCTTGACTCTTCAGGAAGGATGAAAGAGATGGATCCTGCAAAGGTAGCGGGGATGGAAGGGGGACGATGGACGGTTGACCTGGTCAGGTTGTCTCCTGCATCCCTCCTCACAACCTCTGAGCGTTCCTCTCTAGGGCTCTCAGAGAGATCTGGTGAGTTCCAGGGGAGGGGAGATGAGGACATGGAGGGATGGAGCCAGAGAGGTATTGGGGCTTGCTCACCCTGGGGGTGGGGGGAGGCAGACAGGCAGGCGGAGATTGAGAAGGTGAGCACCTTTCTGGGCTCCACCACCTGCCTGCCTGCGCCTTTGTCATCTGCAGGGAATTTGAGCTAGGAATACATCACAGCTCCCCGGCCACCACGATGTATTGGCAGCTCAAAATGTCTAATACCAGTGCCGTGGCCTGAATGCCTTACTGTGTCAAAAAACTTACTGCTCCATTACACAGCAGTAGAAGCAACGAACTCTGCATAAGGAAGTCAAGGAGGAGAATCATGGGATCCTGGACGCTCTTGGTAAAGCTCCCTGTTGGATCATAAGATCAGTTTTGAAATTCCATACATACATTCCTCCCCCCTAGGAGATCCTACAATATAGCTCCCTTTCTGTTCTTCAGACATAGAATATTCTGCCAGCTTTAACTTTTCAATGATAGTTACAATTCTGTCACATGACTCTGGCAATCTTTCTTTTCTTCATGTCTTAGACCAAAAAAGTTTCTTATTAAATTGCGATGACATCTTCTAAATTTATAAACTTTCTCTAAATTGTGAAGAATTTCTCTGGCAGTAAGACATCTGCCTCAATACATTGTATCATTTCAAATCTGTATAACACTGTTCTCATTCTCCTATTCCACTGTGTAAAACTTCCTATGTGCATCCTAAAAATTTCTTTCTACTTTTCAATCTGCCTCTAAAAAATGTTTCTGAGAGGATAATTAAGAGTACACTGGCAAAGAGGTCAAAATGTTAATGTCAGTTTCTGAGGTAAAACATGTCACTTTACAACTCTGCACCTGTCTTTCTGGATTATTCATGGTTTTCTGGATTTTGTGGGCCCCAAACCCATTTTCTGTGGTATTTATATGTGTGGAGGTTGCCCTGGGTTGTTTGACCCTTGAAAAACATAGCTTTTTTTATTCTAGAAAAGACACCACAAGATTCTCTGTTTAGAGTTTATACAGAACACATTACATTACTTGATAATAATAATAATAATAATAATAATAATAATAATAATCATAAAAATCATAATAATCATAATAATTTATTATTTATACCCCGCCCATCTGGCTGGGTTTCCCCAGCCACTCTGGGCGGCTTCCAAAAGAATATTAAAATACTATGATACATTAAACATTAAAAGCTTCCCTAAACAGGGCTGCCTTCAGATGTCTTCTAAAAGTCTGGTAGTTGTTGTTCTCTTTGACATCTGGTGGGAGGGCGTTCCACAGGGAGGGCGCCACTACCGAGAAGGCCCTCTGCCTGGTTCCCTGTAACTTGGCTTCTCGCAATGAGGGAACCGCCAGAAGGCCCTTGGTTCTGGACCTCAGTGTCTGGGTAGAACGATGGAGGTGGAGACGCTCCTTCAGGTATACTGGACCGAGGCCGTTTAGGGCTTTAAAGGTCAGCACCAATACTTTGAATTGTGCTCGGAAACGTACTGGGAGCCAATGTAGGTCTTTCAAGACCGGTGTTATATGGTCTCGGCGGCCGTTCCCAGTCACCAGTCTGGCTGCTGCATTCTGGATTAGTTGTAGTTTCCGGGTCACCTTCAAAGGTAGCCCCACGTGGAGCACATTGCAGTAGTCCAAGCGGGAGATAACCAGAGCATGCACCACTCTGGCGAGGCAGTCCGCGGGCAGATAGGGTCTCAGCCTATGTACCAGATGGAGCTGGTACACAGCTGCCCTGGACACGGATTTAACCTGTGCCTCCATGGACAGCTGTGAGTCCAAAATGACTCCCAGGCTGCGCACCTGGTCCTTCAGGGGCACGGTTACCCCATTCAGGACCAGGGAATCCCCCACACCTACCCGCCTCCTGTCCCCCAGAAACAGTACTTCTGTCTTGTCAGGATTCAATCTCAATCTGTTTGCCGCCATCCATCCTCCAACCGCCTCCAGACACTCACACAGGACTGTCACCGCCTTCACTGGTTCTGATTTGAAAGAAAGGTAGAGCTGGGTATCATCTGCTTACTGATGAACACCCAGACTAAACCCCCTGATGATCTCTCCCAGCGGCTGCATATAGATGTTGAAAAGCATGGGGGAGAGAACAGAACCCTGAGGCACCCCACAAGTGAGAGCCCAGGGGTCTGAACACTCATCCCCCACCACCACTTTCTGAACACGGCCCAGGAGGAAGGAGCGGAACCACTGTTTGACAGTGCCCCCAGCTCCCAGCCCCTCAAGACGGTCCAGAAGGATGTTATGGTCGATGGTATCAAACGCCGCTGAGAGATCCAGCAGAACTAGGAAACAGCTCTCACCTTTGTCCCTAGCCCGCCGGAGATCATCAACCAGTGCGACCAAGGCAGTTTCAGTCCCGTGATGAGGCCTGAATCCCGATTGGAAGGGATCCACGTTTGCATGTGCTTATATCTAATATATCTATATCTATTATGTATTGATTTTGATTATTTCTACATTTATTCCATTTTTTATTCAAGACAATAAGCTCAGAAATCCAAAATAATTCAACATCAAATAATGCCGCTACATTAGGTATGAAGAAGGAATTACAAGTGCTTCTATCTATATGAGACTTTACAGACTTTTTCTGAGGCACATAGCAGCATAAAACAGGCAGCAGGTGCTCTCACAGAAAACCTCTCTCTCACTCGACAGTTGAGAACAGACCTAACTGAAAAAACGGCCTTCTGGAGTGACAGTCACCCTTTCCATAGTAACTTGGAGGCAACATTCACACACAGAGTTGTTAGGGAAGTTGAGGTAATTTATGTCCGGTTTGGGTTTCTGTTTTAGCCCCTGCCCGTATTTTAAAGAGAAGACCAATGTTAGAGTTGGAGTGGATTTCATGATTGTGGCAACAAAAATCCGTCCTAGAAAAGAGGTCGACAAATGCTGGTCGACAAAGGCCACGGCCTCTGTAGAAAGACCTCACAACTTCTGTTCATAGAATCATAGAATCATAGAGTTGGAAGAGACCACAAGGGCCATCGAGTCCAACCCCCTGCCAAGCAGGAAACACCATCAGAGCACTCCTGACATATGGTTGTCAAGCCTCTGCTTAAAGACCTCCAAAGTAGGAGACTCCACCACACTCCTTGGCAGCAAATTCCACTGTCAAACAGCTCTTACTGTCAGGAAGTTCTTCCTAATGTTTAGGTGGAATCTTCTTTCTTGTAGTTTGGATCCATTGCTCCATGTCCGCTTCTCTGGAGCAGCAGAAAACAACCTTTCTCCCTCCTCTATGTGACATCCTTTTATATATTTGAACATGGCTATCATATCACCCCTTAACCTCCTCTTCTCCAGGCTAAACATGCCCAGCTCCCTTAGCCGTTCCTCATAAGGCATCGTTTCCAGGCCTTTGACCATTTTGGTTGCCCTCCTCTGGACACGTTCCAGTTTGTCAGTGTCCTTCTTGAACTGTGGTGCCCAGAACTGGACACAGTACTCCAGGTGAGGTCTGACCAGAGCAGAATACAGTGGCACTATTACTTCCCTTGATCTAGATGCTATACTCCTATTGATGCAGCCCAGAATTGCATTGGCTTTTTTAGCTGCCGCGTCACACTGTTGGCTCATGTCAAGTTTGTGGTCAACCAAGACTCCTAGATCCTTTTCACATGTACTGCTCTCAAGCCAGGTGTCCTCCATCTTGTATGTGTGCCTCTCATTTCTTTTTGCCCAAGTGCAATACGTTACATTTCTCCCTGTTAAAATTCATCTTGTTTGTTTTTGCCCAGTTCTCTAATCTGTCAAGGTCGTTTTGAAGTGTGATCCTGTCCTCTGGGGTGTTAGCCACCCCTCCCAGTTTGGTGTCATCTGCAAATTTGATCAGGATGCCCTTGAGTCCATCATCCAAGTCGTTGATAAAGATGTTGAATAAGACCGGGCCCAAGACAGAACCCTGTGGCACCCCACTATTCACTCTTCTCCAGGATGAAGAGGAACCATTGATGAGCACCCTTTGGGTTCGGTCAGTCAGCCAGTTACAAATCCACTGAGTGGTAGCATAGTCAAGACCGCATTTTACCAGCTTCTTTACAAGAATATCATGGGGCACCTTGTCAAATGCCTTGCTGAAATCAAGGTAGGCTACATCCACTGCGTTCCCTTCATCTACCAGGCTTGTAATTCTGTCAAAAAACGAGATCAGGTTAGTCTGACATGTCTTATTTTTCAGAAATCCATGCTGACTATTGGTGATCACAGTATTCCTTTCTAGGTGCTCACAGACTGTTTGCTTAATGATCTGCTCCAGAATCTTCCCTGCTATTGATGTCAGACTGACTGGGCGGTAATTATTTGGGTCCTCTCTTTTCCCCTTTTTGAAAATAGGGACAACATTTGCCCTCCTCCAGTCTGCCGGGACTTCGCCTGTTCTCCAGGAATTCTCAAAGATGACTGCCAGTGGTTCTGAGATCACATCTGCCAGTTCTTTTAATACTCTTGGATGCAGTTCATCTGGCCCTGGAGACTTGAATACATCTAAACTAGCCAAGTATTCTTGTACTATCTCCTTAGTTATTCTGGGCTGTGTTTCCTTTGCTGAATCATTTGCTCCAAATTCTTCAGGTCGGGCATTGTTTTCTTTATCGGAGAAGACTGAGGCAAAGGAATTGAGGAGTTCAGCCCTTTCTGTGTCCCCTGTTTGCATTTCACCATCTTCTCCTCTGAGTGACCCAACTGTTTCTTTGTTCTTCCTTTTGCTACGAACATACCCATAAAAGCCTTTTTTGTTGCTTTTAACCTCTCTAGCAAGCCTGAGTTCATTCTGTGCTTTAGCTTTTCTGACTTTGTGTCTACACGTGCTGGCTATTTGTTTGAATTCCTCTTTGGTGGTTTCCCCCCTTTTCCATTTTTTGTACACATCCTTTTTTAATCTTAACTCGGTTAAAAGTTCTTTAGATAGCCACCCTGGCTTCTTTAGGCACCTTCCATGTTTCCATCTCATTGGTATTGCCTGACGTTGTGCTTTTAGCTCTGTTGTGCTCTGTTCTTCCTCTTTGAGAAATTTTCATTAGCATTGTTCAATAATTGGGGGCTCCGTTTCTTCCTGAGGATCTAATTAGTTTCTGTCTTTGTTGTAGGTGGTGATGAATTGGAAATGAAGAATGGGGGAGACCATGACAAAATCCACACAGTGGAGAAGCCAAATCAAAATTGGGAGTATGGAGAGAGCTCCAGTCAGAGTTCCCGTTCCCACCAAAGAACTCAAAGCGGGAAGAAAGGCTATCAGTGCTCAGAATGTGGGAAGAGCTTCAGTCGGAAGGGCAGTCTTACTTTGCATCAAAGAATTCATACAGGGGAGAAACCCTATCAGTGCTTGGAATGTGGAAAGAGGTTTCGTCAGAGTGGGGCTCTCACTTCCCACAAAAGAATACATACAGGAGAGAAACCTTACCAGTGCTTGGAATGTGGAAAGAGCTTCAGTCACAGCACCTATCTCACTTCCCACCAAAGAATTCATACAGGAGAGAAACCCTATCAGTGCTTGGAATGTGGAAAGAGCTTCAGTCACCGCACCCATCTCACTTCCCACCAAAGAATTCATACAGGAGAGAAACCCTATCAGTGCTTTGAATGTGGAAAGAGCTTCAGTCGGAAGGACAGTCTCACTTCCCACCAAAGAATTCATACAGGGGAGAAACCCTTTCAGTGCTTTGAATGTGGAAAGAACTTCACTCAGAGCAGCAGTCTCGCTTCCCATCAAAGAATTCATACAGGGGAGAAACCCTATCAGTGCTTTGAATGTGGAAAGAGCTTCAGTCACAGCACCCATCTAACTTCCCATCAAAGAATTCATACTGAAGAGAAACCCTTTCAGTGCTTTGAATGTGGAGAGAGCTTCAGTCACAGTTACAGTCTCACTTCCCATCAAAGAATTCATACAGAGGAGAAACCCTATCAGTGCTTGGAATGTAGGAAGCGCTTCAGTTGGAAGGACAAACTCACTTTGCATCAAAGAATTCATACTGGAGAGAAACTCCATCAGTGCTTGGAATGTGGGAAGAGCTTCAGTCAGAGAACCCATCTCACTTCCCATCAAAGAATTCATACAGAGGAGAAACCCTATCAGTGCTTGGAATGTGGGAAGAGCTTCAGTCAGAGCACCCATCTCACTTCCCATCAAAGAATTCATACAGGGGAGAAACCCTATCAGTGCTTGGAATGTGGGAAGAGCTTCAGTCGGAAGGACAGTCTCACTTCGCATCAAAGAATTCATAGAGGGGAGAAACCCTATCAGTGCTTGGAATGTGGGAAGAGCTTCAGTCAGAGCACCCATCTCACTTCCCATCAAAGAATTCATAGAGGGGAGAAACCCTATCAGTGCTTGGAATGTGGGAAGAGCTTCAGTCAGAGCACCCATCTCACTTCCCATCAAAGAATTCATAGAGGGGAGAAACCCTATCAGTGCTTTGAATGTGGAAAGAGCTTCAGTAAGAGCGCCCATCTCACTTCCCATCACAGAATTCATACAGGGGAGAAACCCTATCAGTGCTTGGAATGTGAGAAGAACTTCAGTCGGAAGGACAAACTCACTTTGCATCAAAGAATTCATACAGGGGAGAAACCCTATCAATAATAATAATAATAATAATAATAATAATAATAATAATAATAAATTTTATTTATATCCCGCCCTCCCTAGCGGAAGCCAGGCTCAGGGCGGCTAACAACAATCAAATAATCAAACAGTAAAATAGTCATACAATCTAAAAAAATATTTCATTATAAAAATTAATTAAATGAAATTGGTGGCAACCAATTAAGCAAAATTCTGTGCAGGTTGCCAGAGGAGGGAGTCAGGCTGCGCCCTGACCAAAGGCCTGGCGGAACAACTCTGTCTTGCAGGCCCTGCGGAAAGATATCAGGTCCCGCAGGGCCCTAGTCTCTTGTGACAGAGCATTCCACCAGATTGGAGCCGCAGCTGAGAAGGCCCTGGCTCTAGTTGAGGCCAGCCTAACCTCTCTGAGGCCTGGGACCTTGAGGATGTTATTATTTGCAGACCGTAGGTTTCTCTGTGGGGCATACCAGGAGAGGCGGTCCCGTAGGTACGAGGGTCCTAGGCCGTATAGGGCTTTAAAGGTTAAAACCAGCACCTTAAACCTGATCCTGTACTCCACTGGGAGCCAGTGCAGCTGGTATAGCACCGGATGAATGTGATCTCGCAGCGAAGACCCCATAAGGAGTCTCGCCGCGGCATTCTGCACCCGCTGGAGTTTCTGGGTCAGTCTCAAGGGCAGCCCCACGTAGAGCGAGTTACAATAATCCAGTCTGGAGGTGACCGTCGCATGGATCACAGTGGCTAGGTCAGGGCGAGAGAGATAAGGGGCCAACTGCTTAGCTTGGCGGAGATGAAAAAATCCCGCCTTTGTTAGAGCTGTAATCTGCGCCTCCATAGAAAGGGAGGTATCGAAGATTACACCCAAACTCTTAACGGACGGTGCTGACACTAATTGCACCCCCGCAAGAGATGGGAGTTGCCCCCTCAATCCCATATCGTCCCGCCCCAGCCAGAGGACCTCTGTCTTCGAAGGATTTAACTTCAACCGGCTCCCACGTAACCATCCAGCCACAGCTTCCAGACATCTGGTCAGTGTGTCTGGGGCCGAGTCAGGATGGCCATCCATCAACAGATAGAGTTGGGTGTCATCAGCATACTGATGGCAACCCAGCCCAAAACTCCGGACAAGCTGGGCGAGGGGGCGCATAAAGATGTTAAAAAGCATCGGGGAGAGAATTGCACCCTGAGGCACTCCACACACCAAGGAGTGGCGCGATGACAATTCCCCCCCAAGCGGCACCCTCTGTCCCCGACCAGAGAGAAACGAGCGCAGCCATTGAAGGACTGTGCCCTGGATCCCCATGTCGGCAAGGCGGTGGTCCAGGAGTTTGTGATCGACCATGTCAAAGTCTGCTGACAGATCTGGAAGAATCAGCAGCCCCGACCCGCCTCGATCCAGCTGCCTACGGAGATCATCTGTTAGGGCGACCAGAGCCGTCTCGGTCCCATGACCAGTGCGGAAGCCGGACTGGAATGGATCCAAAGCAGATGTTTCATCCAGAAACCTACCAAGCTGTTCAGCAACCGCTCTTGGAACCGCTATCAGTGCTTTGACTGTGGAAAGAGCTTCAGTCACAGCACCCATCTCACTTCCCATCAAAGAATCCATACAGGGGAGAAACCCTATCACTGCTTGGAGTGTGGGAACAGCTTCAAAAAGAGGGCAGGTCTCATCCGCCATCAAATAATTCATACAGTGGCACCTCAGGTTAAAAACTTAATTCGTTCTGGAGGTCCATTCTTAACCTGAAACTGTTCTTAAGCTGAAGCACCACTTTAACTAATGGGGCTTCCTGCTGCTGCCTCACGATTTCTGTTCTCACTCTGAAGCAAAGTTCTTAACCCGAGGTACTATTTCTGGGTTAGTGGAGTCTGTAACCTGAAGCGTGTGTAACTTGAGGTACCACTGTACAGGGCATGAAGTGTATAAGAAATGTGGAAAGATTTTCTCGTCCAAGAGGCGTCTAGCTTCCCATGAAGAAATTCATGTGATTGAGCTGGTGGTTGCTGAAGAACTCCAGGCATGCCTGGAGGATGGGGACCATTTGGATCCATTCCAGTTGGGAATCAGGCCTCATATTGGGACTGAAACTGTCTTGGTTGTGCTGGTCCATGATCTCCGGCGCACTAAGGACAAAGGTGAAAGCTGTTTCCTGCTTCTGCCGGAGCTCTCAGTGGCCTTTGATACCATTGACCACGACATCATTCTGGACCGTCTAGAGGAGCTGGGAGCTGAGGGTTATACAGTGGTTCCCCTCCCTCCTGGGCCGTGTTCAGAAAGTGGTGGTGGGGGATTAGTGTACAGACCCATGGGCTCTCACTTGTGGGGTGCCTCAGGGTTCCATCCTCTCCCCCATGCTTTTTAACATCTACATGAAGCTGCTGGGAGAGATCATCAGGGGGTTTGGTCTGGGTGTCCATCAGTATGCGGATGATACCCAGCTCTAACTCTTTTAAATCAGAACCAGTGAAAGCGGTGAAGGTCCTGTGTGAGTGTCTGGAGGTGGTTGGAGGATGGATGGCAGGTGACTGATTGAGATTGAATCATGACAAGACAGAAGTGCTGTTCTTGGGTGACGGGGCGGGCTGGTGTTGAGGACTCACTTAGACCACTGCAACACATTCTATGTGGGGCTACCTTTGAAGGTGACCTGGAAAGTACAACTAATCCAGAATGTGGTTGCTAGACTGATGACTGGGAGTAGCTGCCGAGACCACATAACACCGGTCCTGAAAGACCTACGTTTCTGGCCACAATTCAAAGTGTTGGGGTTCACCTTTAAAGCCCTTAACAGTCTTGGCCCAGTATACCAGAAGGAGTGTCTCCACCCCCATCCTTCTGTCTGCACACTGAGGTCCAACTCCCAGGGTCTTAATGCTGTCTCCCTCACTGCAGGAAGTGAAGATACAGGGCCTTCTCGGTAGTGGCACCCGCCCTGTGGAATGCCCTCCTACCAGATGTCAAAGAAATAAACAACTGTCTGACTTTGAGAAGACATCTCAAGGGAGCCCTGTTTAGAGAAGCTTTTAATATCTGATGAATTATTGTATTTTAATATTTTGCTGGAAGTCACCCAGAGTGGTTGGAGAAACCCAGCCAGACGGACGGGGTATAAATAAATTATTGTTGTTGTTTTAACGACTTTCCCATGCAATATGGGAATCCACATCCATCTGAAGTTCAGGAGCAGTTGGACAATCCCCAGATTCTGGGCATCTACATTTGGGGCCATCTGGTAGAAAAAGGGGAACTGGGTTTTTTCATGAAGAGTCGGAACAGTGTATCCATAACTTGCCCAGGAAGCAAAGGAAGAGGTGAGTGCTTTGCTGTGGTTCCAGGACAAATCTCAGACAGTTGACCAACTACAGTCCCACACACATGCACACAAAGAACAAGACAAAATGCTGACCGTGTGGAATGGGAGGAGGTCTTCCAGGAATGCCTCCAGACTCTCAATATTTTGTGGGACTGAATCACATCCCAGAATATTAGACTAGGGACTCGGCTACATTACTCAAAAAACTGTGTTTTGAATGCATTGTAAAGAAGCAACATGGTTTTTAAAAGCAGTGGTGGAGTGGCATAGGGCATTTGACACCAATGTTGAGTGCACCTGCTTCTAGGTTCCATCCCACCCTCACCTTTGGGAGAGTCCAAAAAGGAAAGAATAAAAAGCCCATAAATAAAGTCCATAAATAGCAACACCCTAAAGGTCCCGGGCCCAAAGGAAGTTACATTAGCCTCAACCAGAGCCAGGGCTTTTAAAACACTGGCTCTGGCCTGTTGAGACCAGGGCCCTGCAGGATCTGATTTCTTTCCACAGGGCCTGTAAGACAGAGTTGTTCTGCCTGGCCTTTGGCTTGGAGTCAATTTGATTCCCTCCCTCCCTCTCTTTCTTTTTTCCTTTCTCCTCCTGTGATGAGGCTGCATTTTAACATTTTAATGTTGTATTTTATTTATTTATTTATTTTTAATAGATATTTATTGAAGATTTTCCATTTTAGTAAATTAAAAAGCCAAAAAGAAAAATTAAAAACATATACAGTTTACAATCCTTATTTTTCAGTAACATATTTCCCTGACTTCCCCACACCTCCCCTTCTTATATTCCAATTCAAATTGTTAGTTCAACAAGTTCTAATCCCCAATTTTTTAACCTTTTTATGTTTAATTCATTATAAAAAACCGATTTTACCTTATAAACATCAAAATTTATACATCAGTACTCATTCTTAAATCCTTTTTGTAAAGTCGACCCAAATTCCCTTGCACGAATTCCCCATTTTTCATACAAATAACAAAACAGAATAAAAATAAAAAGACGAATTATAATTATACACCCTTTGGATCCCCAAACCCCACCCCATCCCCTTTCCCGGTTTCAATCCCCAACAAGTGTCCATCAGTCTTAATCTACTATCAGCCTGGGGATCTCATGTCCGAGGCTCTTAATTGTCTCTCAGTTCCTCTCTGCCGGTTTTTTTGATAGTCCTTAATGTTAAACACCAGATCTCAGAGATGCTCTAGCCCGATGAGGACAATGTTTCTTCCAGCCAGACCTCCATGTTTAAAAGTGGAGCCCAAATCTTGTTTCTTACTCCTTTCAAATCCAAATGTCCCCAAAGCTCCCACTTTCACCTTAATCAAATTTGTAATCCTTGGGTCTTCAGATCTCCACTTGGAGAGATCTCTCCATTCTTCAATCACCAATTCAGACCAGATTTTCATCATCCAGTTCTTATTTTCCTTTATAACCATCATGTCAGGCCTCTGGCTCTCCTTTGCCATCTGCAACATTATATCTCCTCCTTCCTTTTCCTCAAAAACAACATGTGTCTCTTTCTCCACACTCTCAAAGTTCTCAAAGTTCTCCTCTTGTCCAGCTGCTTGGGCTTCCTGGATCAAATCCTTATCAAATTCAATGAACTTATTTACTGTTAAGTCCAGAGTTGCAACGTTGGTAGCCCAAAACATCAATTTGGCCTTGTAACTTTCCCAAGAGAAAGAAAACTCTGTCCAATTTAGCTTGAGTTTTGCCTCCTTCAGCCATTCTTGTAATGTCCCAAAACCCCCTCTAGAGGGATTTTGGTTACTTAGTATCATTCCAGGTCAAATCCAACAATCAAGTTAATTTGTGTCAGTTCTTCCTTGTTTTCAACAAAGTATAGCCCAATTGTAACAAATATAACCAGCAGAGACAATAGAAAACAAAGTTCGCTTTTTCCATCTTGACAGCTAATTTGACAGCTGTCAAACTCTTCAATATCTCTCCAACAGGCTCTCTCACGGATCACTCCCGGGTCACGGGGGGTGGCACCTCAGCTCCGAAAATTAGCTCTTATCCTCCAGTAAATTGCTTAAACTGCCAAATCGTGCAATTAATATCTTTTAGCCAATAAAAGGGAAAAAATCCTCTCAACTTTAGTTAGCTATTCCTTGCTTTAGATTATTTACAAGACGGGGAGATGGACTTCCTGTTTGCATCTTCCCGATCGTGCCTAATTCAAAAAAAATTTTTTCTTTAGAAATCCAATTTCCGTAGTACTCACAGGTTGCTGCTTTAAAAGTCCAATTGTTCAAAGAAGAAGTCAGCGCTCTCCGGCCATGGCATGCGGCTTTCATCCGCAGGAGAAGCAGTAGACTCTCAGCACCGCGCCACTCACCCCGTCCCCCGTTCCGAAGCCTTTAAAAGGCTCCTTCACGGGTCGGGGGGCGCAAACGGTGGCCCGCTGAGTCACCAGGTTCACAGGCTACCTCGCCTGTGATTTTTAAGGGTCCCCGCGTCGCCGCAACGGCAAGACCCGAATCCTGCGGAGCCGATTCCCTCCGGAGCTCGGAGGGAGTCCGCCATTAGCCGTTGGCGCTAACCCGGAAGTCCCTTAATGTTGTGTTTTAATCTTGTTTTTAAGTTGTATTCATTCAAACTGGTTTTTATTATTGTTTCTTAGCTGCCCTGAGCCCGGCCTTGGCTGGGGAGGGCAGGGTATAAATAAAATTAATTGTTGTTGTTATTATTATTATTGTTGTTGTTGATGATGTTAAAAGAGCCACCACATAATCAAGTAAAGTCAGGATGAATGCTGAATCAGCAGGGTCTCTGGAGAAGCCTTGAATCAGGTGGAGAGCATTTTTTTTTTATTGACTGATTCATTGACTGAATCAGAAGCAGAATGTCATCTCACGTTCTCTCAAAATGGGTCCATTCTAGTGGACTCAAAGGAGAACTTTGGACAAATCCTTTGAGTTTTCATGAGAAGTAAAGGAAAGGGGAAGTGGGAAGAGTGATGTTGTGTCAGGCGTGAAGAGTTCTCCTCTCCCTTTGGTAACATCACAGATAAGAATTAACAAGCAGTTGATCTATTTATAGTCCTTTTATTACAGCAATCATGTTGCAAGCAGAAATACACAGCTATCTGCAAGGAGGGCAGTTGGCTGCTCTAAATCCTCCTTCCTCCTTCCGTAAGCATTTTACTTGCCAATGGGAAGTTCCTCCCTCCCTCTGACTTCTTTGCTCTCTGATATGTTCAGACCTCCGAGTCTGTGGTGAGGGGGTTCCCCACACTCTCAAGTGACATCTCAACTAGCTGCCCCCTCCTTTTGGTTCCCTTGTCATGTCTCGTACCTGGGCAACTCCTCCCTCAGCTGTTCAGCTTCTGTCTCTCTCTCTGCTTCTGAACACACTGTGGACTGTCAGATTTGCATTCGGACTGAGCTTCTCTTTTGGTTGAGTCTGTGATTAACAACCTGAGCCTTTGATGAGGTTCCAAGCACG